TATATATATATATATATATATACATATATAATTAAATACAATGAGTTGTATAATAATTACAAACCTTTTTATTCACATATTATTGGATATTGTTAAGATTCTTTGCCGCATGTGCATTTACATGTACATGCTCACTTGAGATGAATTAAAAAAAAAAAAGAAATAATCTGAAAGCTTTTTAATTTTTAAGGGTACAATTCTTTCTCTCTCTCTCTCTCTCTCACTCTCTGTAATAAACACACACACACACACACACACACACGTTTTTGGTCAACAAGTCGTTCTCTTCCAAGCTTACTTCCTTATTTGCGATGACCATGCAGCCATTGGATGATTCGCGCATGTCGTGTTTCACCAGGAGAACATGTGGTAAGGGGAGACTCTCTCAAGAGGAAATGATGCAAAATTTGAGTCCCATCACTTCTCCTTCGCACACATGCCCTTTTCCAACCCCTCCGGCGCGGTTGTTCTAATGGTGATATCGCTCTCGGAACGGCGTTTGTTCCACTTTTGAAACCACATTCCATGTTGGACAAAATCTTCATGTGTTCATTGTTAAGTTAATTTGCATTTTCTTGATCTTTTAGTAAGACAGCCAAACCCAAGACGGACCTCTTCTCATCACCAAGGGCTGAGGTATATGCGCACTTATTTTATTGTATTTGTTTCGGAATGTTGCTGTGTTTACCATCCCCTACGGCCACCCACGGATTTAACCACGCTAAATCCATACGAGCAAAATTTTGCTCCATACAACCTACGACAGCCAGGTCCACAGCATCACATGTGACCCTGTGGGGGCCGGGGGGCGTTGACGCACACATTCAAACTAAAAATCAATATGCAAACGTGAAAGATTAACAGCATTTGCCTGTGAAGTTGAAAGAGGTTCTGATCATTGTTGCACGATTGGCCCCACCTTTGGATTGAACGCATCAGATGGTTACACACTCCTGCCATCTAGTGGAAGAGCATGTAACTGTTTTGTCACTATATGTGGCTGGCATAGATCATTTATTTGTCTTAATTCATTTGAAGCGGTGAGATGAAATAATTTCCAGATTCACATTTGTAATCTCTCGAGGCACTGTGGTTGGGAATCACTGTTTTGGAGCAGAGTACAAATAAATTCTCTGGGGATTGTTACACGAGTGTTAAAAGGAATAAAAACACATCTCGGTATAATTCAGTGAAGATCTCAACCGCTGCGAACCTCAAGCGCAATTTTAAAAACATTGTTTAGTGAATTTGTGCCGCTCACAATCAAAGGCAGTATTTTGAGGACCTCTTGAATTTGATTTGATAATAGCTCCTGCAGGTATACCTAATGCTATGACCCGTGATTTTTGTGGGCTATACGAAGGTGCCTCAGCGCACGGGCTGACTTCACGTGTTGCTGCAGCTTTTGTTCGACGCGCCCTTGCCAAAACGCTTAACTTCTCTGACACTGCTACCGAGCAGAAATGAATGCATTCAATACCCACCGCCAAAAAAAAAAAATCAACAACAGGAGCAATGCACACTATCAACACACTCCAGCGGTCTTTCATTAGCGAACCGAGCTGAGCCTCTCTAGTTTATTCGCCTCTCGCTCTCACTCTCTCCCTCACTCTCTCTCCCACACAGCAGTGAAAGACTTGGTGTATCCTACCCACAACGCTACCAGCCTACTCAACATTTTATTTTAGATCGTTCTCTCTCTGACAACCGAGTGCCCCCTTGGTGTGCTTCTTGGTGCCTGCGCTCGTCCTGCGTCTCGTGTTCTCGCAATTATGAAAAGCGGTCGCCAAGTGACAATTCTCGTCGGAGAGACCGGGGCGCTAAGTTCCACCCTACTCTGATACACCGATGCAGCAATAACGCAACCGGTCCCTCGATTGAAACTTAATTGGCCCTTATAGACGTGCTGTTAAATGAGCACCATTTTTGAATGACACTTTGCAAATCCCGACTATGAGCACCTCTTGAAATGTAGAAACCACGAAGAGTCAAAGTCTGAGCTTGGAAATCGTGATAGTACACGGCAAAAAATCAGACCCGAGGTGGCCTGGAAGGGGTTATGGTTGGAGAGGGGTGTGAGACCCTGGGACCTCAGGTCTGGGGCACGGAAGACCATTTAGCACAATCAAAAGCCTGAATGATGGATGGAAATAATTGACATGAAATAACTGATCGACCACTCGTGCAGTTTTCCTTATTGTTTTTTTTTCTTTCGTTTTTTTTTTTTTTTTTTTTTTGCTACATTTTTGTTTGACGAAAGGCCGGGAGCTCCAATTAACTCATTCAATCCCAGCCATTTTCACTGGAGCAACCCCCTCAATCCCAGCGTTTTACTGGATTTTGACTGATCTTGCAAGGCCCACAGAATATTTGGTTCTAATGCTATATAAACATGGAGCCTACCAAAATAAAGTTTGGACTCTGTGCTTTCAGCAGAAAAAAAATGTTTCTATCTTTTTCTATTCTTCAGCAATCGGCATTACAAAATGGCTAATTTTCATGAAAATGGCGATTCCTGGGCAAAAAACGGAGAAAAAGAGCTTTTTGTAAAAGCATGTATTCAAGCACGTGAGGCACCACTGCCACCTACTGGTCGCTTTTTTTTTTTTTTTTTACATGATTTACACTGCAAACGGCTTATTCTCATTCACAGATTGCATCAGACCCTCCTCCTCTCTATGACGCAAAAAAAAAAAAAAAAACTTAGACATACAAGTACGTCCTTGGTAGGCGGGGCCTAATTTTAAAAAGACGTACAAATACGTCTTGTGGAATGAAAGAGTTAAGGAGATTCCAGGAAGTTGACGTGTCATTGCAGCATCTGCAGGGGCTTACGGTTGAGTCATTGAAATGCATCAATGTCAGGTTTCTCTTGGCATCTCCTAAAAGCCACCGGCCTGGAACAGCTTGCAAGAACCCTGCGTGGGGCGAGTGATCAATGGTCTCATTGCAGCATGCTCATTGTTTTGTCTTTTTTTTTTTTAAAGCTGACGACCCACGATCAGAAGTCACAAAGTTGTTTCAAGTCTCAGCGTCGTCACTACTTCCTCCTGCCTCGTTTGCGATTGGCTCCTGTGATCGCATCATGTGTTGCTCTTCATTCTCAGCAGCCCCTTCGCTTCTCTCAAAACTTTTAAGCCTCACTCATTCCTCACATCGCTTTCAGTGTGCCAGAAATGGTGAGGATTCTTTTCACTTGACACGGTCGCCAGCTGTAACCATGGAAACATGGCTGGCAGTTCTGAATTGGCCTGCAGGTACAGTAGTTAGGCCCGACAATCCGGCGAGTCAAATCTCCCTCCAGTAGAGTCCTACTGTACAGGCTTCATAAAGTATTCCTCTCGTGGCTTTTCACCGAGGGAATGCCAGCTCCCTCCTCGCTGCCGCTAATCAAGGAGCGAAGGCTTTTTACAAGCTTGTTAGGGCGGGTGGGCGCACGTCTAATTGTGCACGATGATTGCTCCTGTGCCGGGCTCAACCCAGGCGTCATTTCCAGCCGTTCCCTGTACAAGCGAATCGCACCGGCGCAACAATACTGAACTGCTCCATTCTATTGGAACGTCTTGCTAATGTTCCTTGCCTAGTGTTTTTTTTTTTTTTTGCTAACACATCCGTGAATGAACTCCAAACAGATCATAGCAATCCTTCCTCCTATCACGTTGTTATCAGGCGTGTCAGAGCTTACTGATAAGGTGATCATTTGAGTCTTTCTACACTCTTAAGTGGCCTTTGTAAAAGCTGACTTCATCATTTCTCCCGGTCCGATAATCTCTCAGGGAAAAAGTCCGACATAATCGATTTAAGAAATTAAAAAATAATCATAAATTTGACAGATAAAAATTAAAGATGTGTACTTTTTAAATTGTGTATCAGCATTTTCTCACGTAAAAATAATTACAACTAACTTTAAAAAAAAAATCTCAGAAATTTTTTTTGCACCAACATTGTTGTAGTGCAAAAAGTAAGAAAAAAAGATTTAACGACTAAATTTTTTAAATACATTTTACTCGTTTGTCAGCATTTCGACATAAAAAAGAATATTTAGTATTAAAAATGATTTTTTAAAATAAATATGTAACATAAAAAGTCCAACATTTCAGAAATGTAAGTAAAAAGATAATTCCATCTGACCAATTGTGAAAAATTATTTTCAGAAAAAGGTATTTAAAAATGTGTGTGCATTTTTGTAATAGTACATAAAAATGATCATATCAAAATACAATTTTTAAAAAAATTACATTTTTACTTTTACAACAGCATTTTCAACCCAAACAAAACAATGAAAAAAAACCCGAAATAAATATGACTTCTTTTTAAATCCTCCTTATGTGCTTGTCTAACATGCTAAAATTCATTGCATTGAAATAAAATGTAAATAACACTCAGTCTATACTTTTCATTTGCTAAAGTAGCACCTTTCACGCACAAAAATAAAAGAAATAAACCTAAATTGTTCTCCCACAAAAAATATACTTTTCCCCCTCTACTTGGGGCGCAGCATTCACACACTAATTAGTGAGCTCGGCTGTCACCAAACCAAGCAAGTCCAACAATCATCGATTGAGAGTCGACCGAGCATTGAAAGGAGTTTGTGCCGTCAACACCTGCAAATTATAGCCAGAAACGACTCCACACCACAACAAAAGTTCTATGCGGAGTCAGATGTGTTCTTCATTGGAAAAAGTTCAAGGTGCCTTTGACGTATTTTTTGTGCGAGTGTGTTGGTGTCAACACGATCAAATTATTTTGCGTCTGATTGTTCGTACCGATTTCTTATTCTGTTCACACGGGGATTAAAGTCACACGCACACAACACAAAACACGCACACGCACACACTCTCCATCGCATTTCATAACAGTCACATAGTTGAAATGAATCAGACAAAAAGTTGCTCACCACACATCGTCCCGTGAAGTTGATCCCGATCTTCCTCACTCGCTGCGAGCCAAGCGGACAGCAAAGGCAGCAGTGATCTGTCAGCCCCGTACCTCTGTTTAAATTTCACTATTCCTTCCTCCTCCTCCTCCTCCTCCTCCTCCTCTTCTTCTTCTTCACCTCCCTCCTACTGCTCTCGCCGCTCCGTGTTCTTTTTTTGGCCAGCTGAGCTCTGCTGCTGCTGCTGTTGCTGCTGCTGCCGCGCCGCCCAGCTCGTCGTATCACGCGCCCTGACGTGCGGCTCATCTCATCACAGCTTCCTCTGTGCTCGTCTTTTAATATTTGGCCCGATGATGTTCACTTCAAAATGTTGGGTTTGGTTTCCCAACGCACATACTGGGTAGATGTGGATTTTGAACTGATTTTAGCGTGCTTTAAACATATTTATAAAAACTGCCTTTGAAAATATTCCTTAGTGCTTGTGCTCGCCCTCTCAGTGTTGAGAAATGGGAGACGAGTGTATAACATCACTTTGAGGAAACGAAAAGACTCTCGCTAAGAACAGTTCTCGAAATAAGAGCCAAAGTGTGCTTGCTCGAAGATGCGTCTTTGTCACTCCCAGTTGAAGTTGACTATAAATCTGATACATGAATCAACATAGAATCAAATATTGTGTATTTAAGCAACAAAATGTTTTTAATCAAATCATTCATGTGACACACCCACTTACTGCTACATTTACATTATTTTCATGTAATTGTTTTGAATTGTCGTATTTTGTCGGGATGGTCTTATTTTCTATTCGTGCCGTTTTTATGATTGTTTTTCTCGAGTATTTGCTATTTTTTTTTTACTGTTTTTGGGGTATTTTCCATGATCTGAAATGTTCATAATTAAAGGCCTAATATTTTTGTCTAATAATGACTTCACTATATTTTAATAAATCTAATATTTTTATTCAAATATTTTTGTGTCATGTATCTAATATTTTGTATAATTTTAAACATTTTGCAATATTATGTGGTTTTGTTGTTGTTTTGTCTAATACTAACCTATTTGTCTCGTATGACTGGCTGTTATGAGGGTGTGAATTGAAGTCAAGCTTTGCAAAAAGGCCATAAATCGCACACACACGTGCGCGCGCACACACAAAGTGTGTGTGTCAATCCTTCAATGCTTGCTGAGCTGTGCTCTTTGACCTGTGGAGCCCTCTGTCTTTAAATGTTCCACTGTATGACACAAGACCCTTTTTCTCTTTGCGTCACTGACACTCTTGACCTCGGCAGATGAAGCAAGACCACATTTGACTCAAAACTGTTTCTCTTCTTGCCGCCAGGCCATTTTTGACTTTTGTGGCAGCAGCAAGGCAGAGTTGAACCTGAAGAGAGGAGACTTGATCTTCCTGCTGCATCGAGTCAACGCAGAATGGCTGGAGGTATTCTAAAACGCGTTACAAGGACATGAGGAGGTGGTGGGGTTAGGTGGACGGATTGTTGGGGGGGTGGGGGGGGGTCCTTTCCGACCTGTCTGGTCTGCTGTAAAGGAAGGCGGTCTTTTGTGACGTCAAAATAAGCACCAATAGGCTACAAACATTGTCCACTGTACTCTAGTTTATATATGAGCTCTGATTTGCTTCTGTTGAATCCCAAAAGAACTTTATGTGGCAGTTAAATGCGTTTGCCCACCCTTGGCAAAGGCCTGCACCCATTTTCACCCTGAAATGCAGAAATAAGGAAAAAAGACGAGCAGAGTTGTATCATTAGCCATCATGTGGCATGACTCCTTCTTGTGACTGGCTTCAGCGGTTCTTCAACTAACCATTGCAATTTGTCTTCAAGTTTGATCAGTAACATTGCACAGGCTTAATTCCTCTAATTGCAACCACTCCCCGCCTGTACACACGGCAAATGAACCGCGCGGCAACTTTGTGCGTGCGGCAGACCCAAAAGGAGCTATGACCGGTTAGTAGATCAGCTTCCGTGTGCGTTTGCGTGAGCACTCAAGTATGCACCCTTTTTTGCAGCGCAAAACTTTAGTCAATCAGACCCTGATTAGCTACTAGTAAATCAAGTTCAATTCAGAAAAGGGAAAAATATGAAGTGACGCTTTGATGGATGCGCTCTCTGAAATGCTGCAATGCTAACATCATGCTAAAATATTGTGGAGCTAACCCCTCATTATTTTGCGTTACAAATGAATCAAAGAAGTAGTGTGTCGTGTGCAGGCACCAGGAAAAGCTGCTCATACGATGAAGTAACCGGAGGTGGGTGCGATGGAGGGACCGCAGTGAGGGGGAGACAAAGCGAACGTGGAGGATGCACTCATCTCCGTCTTATTTTTACCTTCTGGCTGCTCTGCACACACGTCCAATAATGCTAATGGGGAACATGCAATAATCTGTTTATTGTCCTGCGGCACTGCTTCAGCGCCATCTCAAAATATATTTCCAAAACCGAACGCGGCGGTTGTGTGCGGACAAGCGTGACCGTTTTGAAGCAGGGTTGAGTCGTAAATGGCAAAGGTTTGGTAAAGTAGCCAAAAGTTGGACTCGAGAGGATCGTTATTTGAGAGTAACTTGACTCAAGTGAAATAAAAAGTCTTCCAAATTATTAGTCGGGGTGGGGGGTTATCGCAACATGAAGTTTGCCGCCATATTTAAGTCACCGGCGGTTATCACCAGCTCATTCTGGATTTATGTGTACCCAAAAACAAAATTGCACGGATCGTCCTTTTCCACATAGCGACGTCTGTGTCAGATGTGAGTCGGCCACATTTAAAGGGAATGAGAAATGTGCGCTTTCGAGTTTTTCACCATTCAATATTCATGGCGGTTGACTTATTTTTCTCACTTGCTAAGACTGTGCAAATGTGACTTCAAACAATGGCTGTACAGCGAAAAAAGTTGTCGTTTTCCTGGAATTTTTTTTTTCTATTTCCGTTATTTCCAATGGGAAACTTGTTTCCATTTTCGTTCAATTTGGAGGTCAAGGAATGTCTTGAAAAGTGATAATTGGTTTATTTACTTTTATTTAATTATTTCCGACTACTTTACGTTTCCCATTAGAGACACACACACACACACACACACACACACACACACACACACATGCACGCACACGCACGCACACGAAGGTGTACTCACAAAGGCTTACATGCTAATTGTCATGTATCCTGCGCGAGCTAATTAGTCAGACTTCCACGAGTGCGAATCCCTCACACTTTTCTGTGATTGTTATTACCCCCCACAGGGCACGGTCAACAACCAAACGGGTATTTTTCCACAATCCTTTGTGAAAGTCATCAAGCCCCTCCCGGAGAGTGAATCAGAGGGCGAAGGAGAAGGCCACACCTACAGCTGCCTGCGATGCTACCTGCTCACCCCCTCTGGAATCCAAGCCAGGTATATTTCTATGTTTATCTTTGTTCAGGCTTATACTGTGCATTCTGAATACTTGGCTACTTAAAAATGGCCGAGTTGTCCTCAGGATGTACTGTAAATGTGATATGTGTGTGTGTGTATATGCATGCACTTGCAGAGACGTGTGCGTTCAAGAGGATCTCAACATCCAGCCAACACACAAGGAGCTGATGTCTCGTATGAGGTAGTTGTCGTTCTTCACACTTGTCCCTCTTTTAGAAGGGACACTGAAATAATAAAACATGAGTTCCATTAGCGGTGTCGTCTGGGGGCTGCAAGTAGACTTGGAGTAAGACCATCTCGGAGTAGGTCGAAGTTGTGGCGCAGGTTGTCCAACGGGGTTTTGGTGGTTCCCATATCAAAGGTGCTGTACTTTCATCACGGAAAATATAGTTTCTTTTTTTTTTAACACGAATCAAGTTACCAAATGTGGTTCCTTCTATTTTAAAACGACTTTCATGAAATAAAATCATCCATTTATAATCCATTTAAATAGGGCTGAACAATTGATTGAATGCGCAATAGACATTGCAATTCGGTAGAATGCAATTTTCAGTCAAATTCAAAAATCCAATTTCAATTTATTACATTTATTACTCGTGTTTACGCCACACTTGTTTTTGGTTTTTTTTTTTTTTTTTTTTTTCCGAATTTTGTAAAGTTGTCATCGTGAACACGAAAAAGACTGCAAGTCAAAGTGTCTCTAATTGAAGCAGGGACAGAAACTGTCTTTCACCTGAGTTTATATTTCCTTTATTTTAGCATCAGCCTAAAATCAAGGCAAAAACCAAATCTCAGTTCGATCATTTTTCCAAATCTATCAGCCCTACTTTGAAGTCTGTACATCCATCGATCCATTTTCCGAAGCGCTTGTATCCTCCCTAAATTTAAATAAACACACATTGCAACAGCTGCAAGAGGCTTGAAATAATCAAGAAAATATTTCTTGAAGCCCCTTCATTCTCCACAGTGCCGCCACGCCACAGTCACACTCACACTCACCTTGAGCTTCTCAATGGGTGCCTGCCAATCACGGGGTGCCCATCAAATGAGCTCTCGAGGGACCTTCTCCACCCGCAAGCCCCTCCGTGCCCTCATCACGGAGCAGCGTAGCAACATGCCCGCACGCAATGTGCTTATTACAGCGCCGTATCTGCTCGTTAGCTGCTCGGCCGCGCTAACGTGATTAGCCCGAGCCTGTTCCCTAATCACTTCATTTCTACTCTCCTCTCTTGTGTTCGCGCCCCGGGTCCCACTATTTTGACTGACGCTGCAATGTTTTTTTTTTTTTTTTTTTTTTTGCACTTTAAAATGCATAGGTGGCAGATGAAGTCTATTTAACCCTTTCAGGCACAGCGGTTACTACAGTGGACAGCTTCTCATGTTATCAGGTTACAGGGTGTATGAAAGGGTTCAGCACTTTAAAGTAAGACAGAGAGAGTGAAGATGGGTGAATGCAATTACAAGTTGTTGAAATGCTGCAAAACGACGTGATTGTTTCGTTTGCTGATACAAATGAACATACGGTAGGTTGTAGCATGGATACAATATTTGCATTTTTAATAGCACCCATCAGAGGTTAGCCACGACATTCCCACCATCAACTGCAGGCACAATATAAAACGATATAAATTTAGAATGTCTTTCAGTTATTGGAAATGAACTTTTTTCTTCACAAAAACGTGTTTAACGATGATAGTGAGTTTGAATTTTGAAATGTAGTTGATAATCCCATGAAGTAAATTCAATGATACAGTCCCTATCCCCACCCCACCCCCATCCCTTTATCCTCACGAGGGCCGCGGGCGTGCTGAAGCCTATCCCCGCTGAGTTGTCTTTTTTTTTTTTTTTTAATGATTTAAAAAATTCCCATCTCAAAGCTACTCCAGAAACAAAAATAATCATCACCACTCAAATGTGGGGAACGGATATTTAATATAATTCCGATATATTTACAATAGTGTGTTAAACTCAAAAGGACGTTATGGAAAAAAAAACGAAAAAAAAACTAACGGTACCTTCTCCTCATAAAAAATGTATCTCCAGGCTAAAAATAAAAAGAACGATGAAAGTAATGTCTTACCAAGCATCATTAATCCAACGCGAGATCGGTTCATTGTTTTCATCTCCATGGCAACCGCTGCATTGAAGCGTGTGCGCTCACGCGCGTGCGTGTGTGTCTTTATCAGGGATGTGTTCACGGTGGATGACATCGCGTTGAACTACCGCGACGGCGAGGGCGACCTCATCCGTGTGCTGGATGACGAGGACGTGCTGCTGATGATCAAGGAGTGCCGAGGTCAGGCAGCGGGGGCGGTCCAGAGGCCTGTCAATCAGTTTCCGTGGGAACTGCTCGTGACCATGGCCTCTGACCTCTCCGTTTACAATGTGGAGGCGTGACACCATTCTTACGTTAGTATAGTAAACCATATTCACTCGTATATTTGATTGTTTCAGGTTTGCTCGCCAATACACACACACACACACACACACACACATATATATATATATATATATTTTTTTTTTGGACCGGGGAATGCAGGCAATTTGCAGTAACACTTTTATACATAGCGGTCACATCAGTGGGCAGCTATTCAAAAACTTGAGTAGTGATGTCACAGAAGCGTATCAGTTACAACTGTGGATGTGCTAGTGTGTCATGAAGCGCACTACAGTGAACAGCTATCGAGAAATAATCTCTTGCGACTGCGAAGCAATCACACTGAGGGATGTTCGATACCACTTTTTTATCAAACCGATTCCAGTATGAGTACTCACGATACCGATACCAAGAAACCAATACCACTCGTCTTGTCAACCATCCATGCTATTTACTTCCTGATAGCAGAATGGCCACAAGAGGGCACCATGACTCTCCGTGACTAGTATCGGCAGCCTTCGTGAGCCTCGATACTGTCATGACTGATGCACAACTTTGACATCCACGACTCAGGAGGAAACACATTTTGAAAAGCTTTCCACTTGGGCTGTACGATTTAGAGAAATTTTCTGTGGGCCATTTTTTCCTGAATATCGCGATGGCGATTTAATGTGCTGTTATATTTTCCAAGGGTTTCTTCCCATTTATTTTTTAACACATCTCATTTTTATCCAAACAAGGAAAAATAATTCTGTTTTACAATAATAACAATCACTTTGACTTGCAGTCTTTTAAGCATTCACTATGACAACTTCACAAAATTCTACCAAACAAGTATGGCGTAAACTTAAATCAGTAAGTCTTCAGCATGATGTGAAAAATTGATGTGAAAAAAATCACAGGCTGGAGTTTGTTTTTTTTTTTTTTTCGTCGCCTTTGTGCATTTCAATGTAACGGGGTTTCAGTTTGAGCCCCGGGGCTATGCTCATTTTTTGCAAATTGATGAAGTTCTACTCACAAAAAAAAAAAAAAAAGTTGACTGTGAAAAAAAGTATTGCTTTTGTCAATATTTTCAGCAACCAGAAGTGTTAGTTGCTCGGCTCGTTGATCTCAAAGTCACCTTCATGACTGTAGCTCACCTGTTGCCAAAAGTGAAAAATTCAAACTCATTGCAAATAAACAATTCATGCAAAAAAAATAAATAAATAAATCTTTCCAGAAGTGATCCCACAACATTGCCACATCTGAGCTGTAACAGAAGTCCCGAATTTATCAGGGAATTTTTACACAGAACCCAGGAAGCACAATATTGCCGCCCACAGCGCCCTGTTTGATGCCATTTCTACAGAACAACAACAAAGAAAATCTTTTTGAGACACTGCAAAAGGGATTGATTTCATGCCCTTTTTCTCCAGGGCAGTTCTTCTCAGCTATTTTCTGTTTAAAAGGAAGAAGAAAACATTTTGCGCCCCCCCCCCCCAACTTTCCGCCACAACTACAAATTGTACCATTTGTCTCCAAACTTTTTATAAGTACACCTCTACATAACATTGCATCCTTATGAACATTAACGAAAAAAGAAAAAAAAGAAAGATCAAATTCAGTCTTTCACAGAAAAGATTTGAAGGACATAAATTTATCAGCGTTTTTTTTTTAATGAGAGCAACACTGCCACCTACTGTAGCGGATGTGCACTTATACTTTTTTTTTTTTTTTTTTTACTGCAAAAAAAAAAAATCCCTGGGTCACACACATCCACCCTGGCATTCCATTCCCCCCACCACCACGACCACCAGGGGCCCGCCATACTACTGAGAAGGACTGCTGTAGGGTCAAGAACACAGTATGATCTGCAAAAAATTATCAACGAGCCAAGGTTCAAATTCTGTGTATCTCTCTTTCTTTCTTTCAGTGATATTTATGCAAAACAGCCGCCTTGAAAAAGGTGTAAAAATGTTTGCTTTGACAGGTGGTGTTAAACGACATGCTGGGACTCACACAGCAGTAGTATAAATTCATAAAAGAATGCAATTTCTGTCGAAAAAATATATAAAATATTTCTGGACTGGGAAATTTTATTGTGGATATTTGGGAATTTGGGAATGTACTAAGTCATTCCCAAATATCCGTCATGTTTTCCTATTCAGGCTAGTTTCATGCCGATAGTTTTCTCACTAATACCTCAAAAGTTCACAAAGACCCGAAACAAGGTCCCTGGGTGCATGGAGGCGTAAATGGAAGCTTTGTCGCGTGTTAATGGTTTTCAGATGTGTGTGTGTGTGTGTGTGTGTGTGTGTGTGTGTGTGTGTGTGTGTGTGTGTGTGTGTGCGTGTGTGTGTGTGTGTGTGTGTGTGTCCACACGTGGATGCGCTGTTGTTTACCGTCGCTACGATTAATGCGAAAAGGAGTGAAAATTGCGTCCACGTTTATGAAGCGTGAACACATTGGCAGGCCGCGCGGCAACAAGAAGGACTTTGCACGACTGGGCCTCGTGTTCACACGGAGGGGGAAGTGGGAGAAAGCAGTCATAAACACCATGTTGGCATGTTGCTTCTGTACTGTATATTTGTCATGATGAGATCAAAATTCAGTCTCGAAAATTATAATGCACATTTTTGAAAGGCATTCATATCAATGTTTTGTTGTTGTTTTTTTTTTTAATTTTTGAAGTTTGCAATGGGCTGCAACTGCACACTTACCCCCCTTTCCTATGGTGTCCCCCAGAGTTCGATGCTTGGTCCTCTCCTTTTCACCCTCTGCATTGTCCCACTCAGTAACCTCAAAATCTACACAATCTAAGCTGATGACAACCGGTTCTATATTGCCCGTAACACTTTAAATATCCATCGTTACAGTGCTTATTGTTTGTTAGGCTACATCAAATGAAGTTGAGTACTTTGAAAAGCACCACACCGTACCAATAAAATGTTAGCTAAGTGACCGATGTGTTTTTTTTTTTTTTTTTTTTGTTAGTGTCATTTTCAGACGTCACTGCATCAACTGTACATTAGCATTTGTGACACAATGTCACTTTCACACTTGTCTGTCATCTCTCCTTCTTAATGACTGTGTGAGCTTTGCCCTTTGGGGTAATGAAGCTGCTAATGAATGTCATAAGGGCCCAAGTCATGCATACTTGTGACCTGCCAAGTACCGGTACTTATTTACCTTCAACCACCTGTGAAATGTGTCTCCATTGCACAAATAGCTTCGTGGGAAAATAATTAGTCCATTTCACATGTTACGTTCACGATTTGTTGTTGAAATGATTCAGATTCAGTGAAAGTGTCTTAAGCATTGAAAAAAAATAAGTTGCTGAATTCCCGATATTTAAATTGACATGTCTTGACCAGGTGGCCCGGTAATTTCCATTATCAGCTATTTACATTCATTATGTAGCTTGAAGTGCATGAGGAATTGCTAACATTTTATAATACAGTAGACTGCCATATATACACATGCGATTTCACCACACACACACACACACACACACACACATACACACACACACACACACACACACACACACACACACACACAGTCAATTCCATGACTAAATGATGCCAAAGCTGTGACTAAATACTTTTTATGAAAGTATTGCAGTAATCGATCCAACGAAATGTGTTGGAGTGATACACCTTGGTGGACAGACACTTGTTGGAAGTTACGGGCGTCTTCGTCTCATGTGACTGCACAAGTACACTTTAGTGTGCATTTTTTTTCGAAAATCAAACCATCCATAAGCCATTTTAAAGCGCAACAGACGAGTTTAAAATTCTTTTGAAACTATTTTGTGCATTTCTGTTTCACCGTATGGTCAAGTGTTGTTTAGTGAGGACACCTGCAGGGACGCTGTTTCGCTACCCCCACCTCCCCCTCCCCTCTCTGACTTCTGTATAAGTCGCGAAGCTGCCTAAAAACTCAATTCATCACGTGCCTGGATGAATCTCTTCTGTCTTCACATCCTCCTCTTTTCCTCCCTGGCCCTTCTTTAACCTTGCCGCCTTCTCCCTCCCACTTTTCTCTGGCTCTTTTGGCAGCGCTCGCCGAATAAAATTCCGCCCTCGCTCTCTGAGAATCAGACTAAACGTGTGCTACCAGCACGCCTTTAAGTGGCGCCACTGCAGATCGCATTCTCTCCCCAAATCGCATTACGGCCGCATTCAAAATGGCTTCTGGACGCAAAAGGGGATTACACTCAGGCATTGTGAGAAAGGTCAATCCCACCATAAATTTAAATGACGCAGTTTATGAGTACAACTTTCAACCTTTTTCATAAGGAGCGCAATAAACATTTGCAGCCCCGTGAAGTCAATATTAACCTATAAGAAGTATTGATCGTTTATTATTAAGGACTTCAGAAGGTTTCCGCAAGACGTTTTCGCCTAATGTAGATTTACTGGGGATTTTTCTGTCCATAAATTCCCACATTAAATTTATTATTTTGAAAATGAAAAAGAAGTTTAAAAAATTGCCTAAAATAAGAACCTATACAAACATTTCAAGGGGAAAAAAAAGAATAAAATTCACACTGTCGTGTGTCGTGTGGAAAAATAAAGTTATACATATATATATATATATATTGCATAAATAAAAAAAAACATACGAAGAAAATCATTAAAAAGTCAAATACTTAAAATAATTTTTCCTGGTCGTCAATCCCCATTGTTGACCTGCTCTGTACTTTTGCATATTGAACAAAGGAGGGCGCTGTTGAACCACTCTTCAAATTATCCTCAGTTTGACTGTCCAGATATTGAATACTGTACTTAACTTATTTTCATGTGTAACGGTCAAGTAGTGTTTTGAAGTAATAGGTCATACATATATTAGATTATTGGTGGTAATGTGCGTATATAATATCTCTGTTGACTGAATCAGAGTTGGCTCCCCCACAAAACATTCTCGTGAATGTCATCAGCATCCGGACTATTCTCACCACTTAGAGCATCCTATACTCTCTCAACCAGATATCAGGACAAGTGACCTTTTTTTTTCGATTCACGTCCTATCGATGTGTACCTAATGAATTGGCCAGAGATGGTACGGAGCATCGGGTTCAG